GTTAGCAATAACTCTATCGCGATACACTAATCGCTGACTGTATACAGAAATTTAGTGACTATTTGATATAGTCAATCGTGTACATTGTGAAAATATGTTTTAGTTACGTGTTATCTTTTGATCGAAGAGGTTCTACAAAATCTCGCTGGTCGCCGTTGAAAAAATTGCCCCTCGCGTGGCCTCTCGAAAATCATTATAACCCAGTTTAAATGCTAGATCAGAAAACGACGGCGTAAGTATATGTGAAGGTGGACGTTTCTGTTACACTGAATGTTTGCATTTTAGCGTGTGAAACCAGCAGTTCATAAACATTAAGCTCTGCTTAAATAGTAGAAATTGTTTGCGTGAAGCCTGTTTCCCTCCTTTTCTACCACCATCGCCTTTGTTGTGAAAGTACAATAATCAGCCGTAAAAAACTGAAGTTTCATCCTGCCATCCTAATAGGTGTAGACAGACCAGTGCTTTCCCCTCTGTCTTCTTAAAGAATATGCACAACATACCTACTTTGTACGGTCTTTTTGAACCTACCGTTTCCTCAGCACCGAGTCAATCCAGTATATCGTAATGGTTACCTTTACGTCGTTCCGCTAATTATGAGCAAGACGTGTCTTTAATTTTGTTCAGCCAACGGGAAACCTTGAAAAATGCCAAGCGGCAGGTTTGTCTAGACGTAAAATCTCTTCGGCAATTCGTCCTCGCTTGAAATGCTGATCCTGTTGCCGTAGGCTGCCTTTACTACACTTACAAGACCAATTAAACTGATTCTAAACACATTGAGAACATGGCAGAACACTGAATCTTTCTTGCCATAACTTTGTTGTCAGGCGTGATCATGATCCATTACCGTAACAAAGTGTCGATCCTGCCTTACTTGATATCGCATACTCAGTAAATTATCATAACGTAATTATGATACGCAAATGAAAATAGTTGAACTGCACAGCCCAGGGTATTTGGTATGGTGAAGCAATGGCTTCGAATCGCATACGTATTCAGCGATTTCAGATGTTAGGCTGAACGATAAAGCTACAAAATCAGAATACGTACGTATTACAGTTTTGCAGGAAATGTTGAACCGACAAGCATATTCTGCATAGAAGATAGAAATAAAAATATTGCCTTCAAAGCGTGCCAGATGCACTTGTTCACTGGTCAAAATGCAGATTTTCTAAGACATAATGTTGAAAAACATTCTGCAAAATCAAGTCATCATCGTCTAGGGCTACGTGAGGCTTCTCATCAGCCTTCGACACTGAAAGACGCTTGCTCTGCTTGCCGTACGACGTTTCTTTTCTGTTCGAGAACGCTTTCATTATCTAGGATCTCTCAATAATTAGTCATACGTTCAAAAATAGTTTTCCCGTATCATGTAATTTTCGTTCGTGTAGAATCGAAACCTAACGAACTCTCTGTCAATGTGTTTGCCCTTTCCTCTCTGGTTTGGGCTGCGCAACAAAGTACTAAATGCGTATGCAACAGCTGCGCATTGGACAGCTCAACAATGGGTCATCTTGCGTCTGTATCGTACTAATTAGGGGGCATTGTATAAGGCTAATTAAATGTAAGAGTGGACATCTTGGTCAGTGGGCCAATATTTTTGATACGTTCTGAAATTGCCGCTTTGCCTTTATTCTCATCTTAATCTATCCTAATCAAATAGTTTGATCGGCTTAATGTTTTCTTCTTACTGAATTGTAGCGTATAATCGTCGTTTATCCGAAAAAAACATACGGCTCACTTTAATCAATTAGGTTTTGCTTAATCATCTAGAGAAATATGTGTGAAGGAATAGGAAATGACTTGTAAGCTACTGTGCAAACAGATATTCCACAGGTCGCCGAGCGTCAAAAATGATGTGATTATGAGCTCCACTGACTTAGGTTAGTTGATAAAAGTTACGTACTGTATATTCAATATTATCATTATTACGTCACTATAAATTGCTTCTGCAAGCAAATGTACGACTATAATACAGCTAAGCTCCGCTTGCCTAGTGTGAGTTTTGGGGGCATCATCTAGACCTTAGTTGATTATTACATTCAATGGAATCGCTCTGCATAACGTCCGTCTTCAACATGTCGTTCCCTCGAAAGGGAGATCTCGAGAATCGGCCGTGGTTGCATTATCTGTTCAACAAATTACGCATTTGACATTAGCAGCATAACAGCACCCGTTAGCACATACTAGGAATATATACGCCCGACTTTAATCTAAAATGGGAGCACGAGCAGAACCTGGCTTGATTTTAGTTTCTTGATAGTATTAGAAAAACCCCATTTTTCCCCCATGTACATACGCTTTGGCTGTACGTGAGGTTAGCAGTGTCGATCGCGTTTCTTAAGGGCACTGCATCATGCCACCGGCAGTCTATCCGGGCCTGAGCAAAGGATTCAGCGTATCATTATAGAGAATTTGGCATTGTTTACTGGAGATGTATGTGACATCGTACACGAGCCGGCCAAAGGTAAACTAGTGGATTTTTTTAAATGAAGCATCAGTCGAGAACAAGTATAGGGATATGAAGTGTAAGCAGAGCGTTCTAGAACATAATTTATATTGCGCAACGCTTGTTACAGAATGAATAGGATTTATCAAAAGACTTACAAGTTATTAACTTGCTCAGATTCGATAGACACGATCTAATAGATTATTGAAAAGTACGCCGAGCTACAATCGATCGCTTGGACAACTGATAAACAACATCGTTGGGGATGTAAATGCATTGTTGCCGGCACGAGTCTATATTCGAGCCAGGGTAACCCTAAAAAGTATGCTAATCTTTATATGTAATAATAAATTTTAATAATGCTTTAGCCTTTCAAGCTGTACAGTCCTTTAGCTCTACACAAATAGGTGTCAAAGCTCTGTATGGCAAAGCATTAGGGCCTTGGTAAGCCATAGGCGAGGCCACCATTCTTAACATAGGGCAGCTTCATTCGCGATTAGTGTAACTAATAGTAGTAAAAATGCTTTCGATAAATCCCTTCACGAAAAAAAGGTTAGCAAAGATATATGTGCGGCCAGTCGTTACCAGGAGCGAGGTCTATGCGACGAGGCGTCCGCACTTAGCAACCCCCCAAGTGCGATGAAGCGTTCCGCAAGCAACGACATGAAATAGACGCTCGAAGTATATGCTGGTCGTATCCATGTAACATGGAGATCGTAGACGACCAAGAAATCTATGTGGTCTTGTTTTGACAATGGATTTGAGATAAACGATGTATACTAACACGAAGCTAGGTAACCGGTCTTTGAAAATCTCTTTTTTTTTCTTCATGAAACATGTACATGTTTCAATTTAAGATGCAGTTTTTTTGTGTGATAACAAATAGTCTCCTGCTGTAATGTGGTATTATGTCGATAGTAATGGTTTCCCTAAACAGAGGAGCAGTCTAACATGTTAAGTTTCGAATCAGGCAGGGCTACATGTCTTAGTGTGACCTCTCGGATTAATAAGCGGAGACTTAACCGTCAGGGTCATTTTGATAGGAAGCGTTCTTAAACTTAGCAATTGCGTAAGTTTAAATGATATTTTTTGTATGCGATATATTGTATTGAATGCCAGATTTGCATAAAACGAACCCGTTCTTCACTACGTTATCTCTGACAAAAATAAGAACAGAATCAAAATCTATTTTTTGCTAATTCCTACTTAGCAGACGTTTCCCTCGGCCTCTCAGTCACGTGACTAAGCTTGCACATGGGCGTCCACAGAGCTACTTAATTCTTTCCTTGGGACTACCGGCAAAATCGAAGGTAATAGCAGTTTCTATTTTTTTCAGGTAAATGGCTGTTCTTGACCAGCTCTGAAAATGACTGAATGAAAAGTTATATATATATATGACGGCACAGATATCGGAAACAATCAGAAGTGATCAATCGGCAAAATGCTTAGAAAAATAGCGGCCATTCGAGTTTCTATTTCTACTATAAAATATATTAATTGGAATTATCGCTGTCGTAGGGCGGGGCAAATGTGGTGTGGTAATGATATTTCTAATATACAACGCTTTTATGAACGCAGCGTAGCAAGCAAACGGTGTTTTCCTATAATCTCCATAGGTAAGTAGTGTTTGCAGTAGTCTAAATATCTATTATTTCTGTACATTTGACAAAAAAACACTGGGATACGATTAGCTACGCTGCTGATCAAAAGCTTTTTGTACGATCGTGTCAAGGGTGTAGTAAAGCTTCATTCTCAGTTTAAACAAACCGTGAGTAGAAAACAGCGTTTATGCTACACAAGTACACTTCCAACGTGTATTATACTAGAAATATTTCTGCTTGCGTATTTCAGATAATGTCCCACATTTAGCCTTAAAGAAGATTTCCTAGTGATTTTTAAAGATTATTGTCAAATTAAGCTGTTTGTTTATGATCTTCTCTTTCGATAGCGGGAACACGCTCTTGCTGTCTTTGAACTTCTCTGTGGAGGCTGCGAGAACAACGAAGGCCCATCCAGGATAGCATAAACAATCTATGACATCGGCGAAAAGCGTAAATCACTACCCATTCTGCTTCGCTTTAGCAAGCATCTATTTCGTATATACGTATGTACTCCTTCTCGTCAGTTGGCCGAAGTCTTCAGGCAGAGTAAATTGACGGCCTGATAATTTATTTTATTGTCGTTTTACATAGATTGATGATAAGCTGCGTACTATACTGAGTGGCACCGCATTGGAGGAAGATTTAGAACATGGCAGATCACAGTGTCCTCTATCAAAGCGCGACTGAAGTAGTGTGGTATTATAAATCTAAAAGTATTGCGCGTCCCTTTTTTAATGCAAACTAAACAAGAAGTTCAAGTTGAACCGCATAGCTTTGGTCGGATTACGCTTTACAATACTACATCAATATGCATTACCGTTATAATCACCAACCTTTAAAGCAAGAGTATGCTCTTCAAACGAATGCTCTATAAATAAAAACTTGATAGTAAATGCATGCAGAGCACTCAAAGCTGCCCACTAAATGTATATTTGTTTAGGCGGAATACTCACATTATTGGCAAAGTGGATATTCCGGAAGGCGTCCTCGTCGAAATTGTATTTATCTTTAAGAAGGCGTAATACATAATTGAGGCGGAAACACGACGTTAGTCCCGTGTCGTCATCGATAACGAGCTGCCATTTACGCAACTGTTGTTTTGTCGCTGTGCAAAAATGGTCTATTGTTCGGCTGAAGTTAGCTAGCGATCCTTGTGTGAAGTTGATGTCTCTTGCAGCCTCGTAAAATTCGGCAAATGCCTAAAAGTACCGAAAGCAAAAACAGAATAACTAGCTTGCTATTACCGTGTGTGAAAACTCAAATCCACCCACAACAAATAGCTATTCATTTTGCCTTCTTTATCGAATTTTGTTCGAAAGAAGCAGAAACAACTATTGTCTCCTTATTACGTGTTTGCCATTTCCGCTTCTGTCACCGAGTAGTTCTGCGACGCGTAATTACGCGAATTATAAAGCTGAGAATTTCTATTCGTGTATCGGCTTATATTCGCTTCTCTCGCTATTTCAGATTGTATTATTGACAGAAAAAAAATACATTTAGTTAACCCGTTTGTACACTTGGCGACGCAGTATAGATAACGTTGTCAAATCATATATACATATATATGCAAGATATTGTTCGCTTTCGATCCGCTGGGCTCATTCTACGCGAGCGACTTATCGACTCTATCACGCAGAAATGCAACCGTACATTATATGTATACCTTGTATGCCTGAATTTCACCATCACAAACAATTCTGCCAACCATTAGAACTGAAAGGTATACAAAAGACTACTTGTAAGAAACTAAGCAGTTCATTTGACTTTTTAGGAGCGAGCTTCTGGTCCTAGCCCAAAGGGATACTTCGTACGAGCCTACCGCCTACCGGACCCGTAGTCTGACTCCTTGGCACTAGTTGGGAGCTGCAAACCGATCGGTCTGTCCTAATCCTATTCTCCCATTCTTTGGACTATCTTGAACAGATGGAGGAAGGACTGCCTGAGCCGTTTCCCATTATCCTTTTTCTTCCTGAAGTTGGCAGTCCTTGTCAGGAGGCCTTCCGTTACTTATGGGCTGTGGCTTGGTTTCTTTGACTTCGACTTTTCCGAAATAGGCGGAGATAAGAGCACGGACTAACGGTAGAACCATTTATCTGTTCTTATGACGATCCCTCCACTGCCCCGACTCCTTTTGCCCTCTTCATGTCTCACCGTTGTAGTTCTACTATTGCCTACTACTCCTATCGCAGGTTTAGGTTGTTGCCACCAGTCTGTAGCCTACTCCATCGTATTCTCCCTGTGACCCTCCACCGTCTTGTCGTGTGTATGCGGATACCGGACCACATTATCTGTCTCCAGTTGAGCCCTCTCCTTCATACCTTTGTTTCGCGGTAGCAAAAAGCTATTCAACGACGCAGAAGTCTTGCTCTCAGAGCTAGCCCGCACACAGGCCCGGTCTCCGGCTGCTGACTCGGCCCCGTATAACGTATATATATAACGTATAACAAGCAACGTTATTCTTGAAAGATCGTTTTTTTTGTTTTTTAGTTGGGACCTACTGAAATATAAGCCTGGAGAAAATTTGAGAGAGAGTTACTTCGGCTTCGCTTGTTCTATGTGAAACCCCATCTATTGTTATACGTCTGTCTGCACCGCACACTATTTTGTTTCATGGCACATAGAAGGTACGCACACGCGCTGAAATGGTCATAGCTATTGGTGCTAGAGACTGTTAAGCTAAGCTGTACAGCTTACTCGCACAGAATGGCTGGCAAAGCTTGAAAGAAACATTAGTTATCATCAAAGGAGCGACTAACAAGAAAGATTTAAGTTAATCTGCACCCAGAAAGGATCATTGCAGGTAGCAGGGGAGGCTACGACCATATCGTAAGCTTATCAAATAGTTGCGTGAATATGCTCTAGAAAAAATGTACATTTCTAAACCAAAAAAGAGGGCATAAGTCGCGGGCATTAGAGTACTGGTTTTATTTCAATATGTAAAGGCGGTGGAGGAGCGGAGAGAGTATTATTCCACTGAAATGAAGATGACAAGCACTGCATTCACACAAAAGGAGCAGGGTTATTGTAAAAGATTTTAATTAGTTTGATTGTTTTATGTACCCGAGAGAAAAAGAAGAGTGTATTGTAAACACAAATAATATGTTTTCTCGAACATTTAAAACAAGGTTAGTTATAGTTTGTACTATCAGAAAAAGCGAAATTGAATTTGAAGAGAAATCGCCTATTCTATACGCGAGTTTGCCTAAATGTAGGGAAGTGAACCCTTTATCTTTTGCCGGTCATATTGGTTTTGCTATAAATACAAATGACATACGAATATAATGTTTCTCCTTATGCCGCGGTTATGATTAAAAGCAGTTTCGTACTTAAGCGAAACGAATGAGATTTGATTAAAAAATATATGAATAGAAATGATTTAAAACACTGTAATTAGCGTTATCTGAATATTGGCAAAGTAGGCTACTCTTTTTTTGCGTGCCCTGCGCCTAATCCTTTAGACACACCGGTAGCAGGCACAAATGTCAATAACCTGTCTAAGTCGACGAAACAGCTACGTAAGGCCTATCTGACGGATTAGATCTCATTTATCCGGTTACGTTCTTTCTTGAAGCAAGGAAATCAAATCGGTGTACCAGTTGAGTGCATAACGTTTTATACGAGGACGTTTCATGGAATAGGGCGCACCGAAAGCAAAATGGAATCCGTGTCACATGCTGCAGGACACCCAGTATTGATTAATCACTAAGCTTATAATTCGCCTAAATTATAGATGATCTGATTATAGATTCTACCTTTTATAAACGTATATCTCTAGCGGAATTCATTTTGTATACGGTCAGCTTCAATCGAAAGGACATTACATTTAGAAAAGAATTACTGATTCTTAAATTGCGTATTGTGAATAGCACTTTGAGGGACATTAATGAACACTCAATTATTTGTCTATCATATATTTATTATATTTTCAACTTGCCTATTTAAAGAACATACACTAAATGGAGACATTTGAAGGATGAGGTAATCCTATGACGTTCAGCATTACACCCAGAGGCTATCATCAAAAAACACACAGACACCCATATGATCTTACAACGTTGTGCGAATTCTCCCCATGTGGTTAATACTATTATATGGCGACTAACTTTTTGCCCTCCAGTGCGAATGACAGGAAGCCACCGCCTTACAGCCTATGTGTGGCGATAGCTTCCTGTAGTTCGAGCTAAGTGGCCGTCATAATAAGGGAATTGCCCTGCGAAGTTAGTAAGCCAACTTTCATAGACATTTTAACCCACGTTACTATGTGAGTTTATCTCAGTATTCAGGACTGTGTCGCACTGTTGTGGCTGCTCAATCGAACTTAGAAACTCATACGTTAAACTAGTCAGTATAACTGCGCACGTGGAAAGATCCTGAATTTATTACAACCTGAAATTGATAGCGCCCGACCTGACTTGAAAATTTCCCATTATACCAGTATGGTTCGAGATGTGGTAATCTTGTTTTTTACTGAATGACCTCTGTAGTTTTATTCCATGAAAGCTGCGACAATGTATTGAAAGGAGTTACGAACAATGACGGAGCGGGTAGCAGCACCGGTCAGAGTGTGAATTTTGCATTTCTGACTCCTATATTATTAGTTTCTTAAAAAAAAAAAAATGGCGAAAATTGCTTTTTCTTGGTTTGTTAGTGGTAAAGTCAGGGCTTTATTAAGGTAGGGGTAACTAGCGTAATTAATATAGGCTTCAATTTGGTGCTTTCATGAAGTCATTATATACAGCCGAATAGTGTTATCGTTAAAATATAACAAACAAAAATTGACTTTTAGATGTACACAAGAAGAAATTATTTCGTTTCAATGTACAGTGCGTTACGCGAGACCATAAGCATAATACGCACCCGACATGGAGTAAACTAGGACAAATACCATGTTTTGCCAATACGTATTAACGAATATCTATTGTTATTACTCTTTGTAGTGTAGACAGTCTCTATCAGACGTCGATGGAATAGAGAGCGTAATTACCTAGGCTAGGTGGTACAAGATTCAAATCAATTTAAATTATTTATTTTCGATAAAACATGTAAGCGTATGATGCCCACTATTAATTATCTGCGAAAAAAAGCGCAATGCTGTAGATCGAACAGAATTTCGAAAGATATTATTCTAAAGAGTAATTATTTCTCCATTTTCAAACAACAGAAACGTCGCAATAATATAATAGCAAACTAATCATAGCCTTTTGCAGCTGTTGCGGTCGCCATAAATCGGGCCTTAAAATGTAGGCAGAGAATCCCACTCAATTTCTGCCGTTTAGACCTAGGTGATAATTACCTAATAGCGTCGATATAAACTAAAACGTTTGTCGGCGGTCGTTTTGGCGTTTGCGGTTGATGCAGCAGGTGCTCATGGTCAACTAATGAATGGACGGGTTGTTTTAAGCGATAATGTTAAAGTGTACACTTACCGTGTAATCGATAGTATTGGGTATACGCTGACCAAGTGACTGGAAGCATTGACGGTATCCTTGTTCAGCACAGAGAGGACTATCAACGAGGTCTTCCGTTAGAGCACGGCAGCCTTCGGGGTCTGACGTACCGTTAAACGTGACGCTCTGTAATCAATCGAGCAATGTAAAAAGATTGACTATTTTAATTACTATTTTAAAACAGCTACTTCCACGATTCAAGTTCGGTTACCTCTGTGTAAAAACACCCTGCAGGTGACGACATTATCGGAGGCAATAGTTTAGAATGCTTTGCAAGCAAACAAAGCAGAGTTATAGGAAAAGGGACACTAGAAAGATTGTGCTGTAGGGGAGTTGCATTTCATTCCGGGTAAGTACGGTGCCGAAATGTGTGAAAATTATATTAATATTTTTAGACAAAATTAAAAGCGGAATATTTGGTGCAGCGTAATGGCTCCACTTAGGTGAAGTTTTTGCAAGACAGCATGTGTAAAAGAGGTTAGGGAGGGACACCCGCGTATGACGGCAGTCATGAAGCGATTGAGCCATTATTAGCTGACGTTTTTATACTAATCATTTTAGCCAAAATTGCGTTTTAACTTCATTCTTTCTAGCAACGGTATTCTACTGCTGATTATTTTATGTTGGGAAAAATACCCATCTTTGTTTTTTCAAAGCATCCCTAACTTATTATTTTCTGTACGATACCGGAAGCCTGCGAGGTATGCAATCCATCGTGCAGGAGTTATCTGCTTTAGTATAAACAATTTCTTATGATTGAGTTGTTTTGTCAGACCCCGCAAGGAATTTTTTAAGCAAGGCCAACTGCTTCAAAGTTTTTGGCGCAGCAGGTTACGAGAAGTATAATTTAACTTAATATGTATTTTATGAAATAATAGAGCGCCCTGTAAATGAGCTACGAAACGGCGTAGTAACAAAAAAAGCTCGATCTTAACTGTGAGTCAAGGCCATAGGAAGGGTTCGGATGACTCTGTTTCAACCGCTCTACGAGGAGTTTTTATGCAACCATGAGAAGCTATCCCACCCACTATTCGATTCTGGTATTGTATAATATTATACTCAGATTGTACGCAAGGAACACACGAGAACTGCACCGGGACATAAGAGCAGTATACTTACAAAGTTCAACTAAAGATAAAAGGAAGAACCCTACATTGTGGCTCCTTTGTCCTTATTTTTCTTTAAGGCAAGACATCATAAACAGAATCTTCAACGTGTTTAGCCTGTCAAACGACAGCTCGCTTAAAGTCGAATGCAGATCACACGATGTAGTGGTCATACGGAAAAGTCATCCGGTAGTTGTAGCAAAAAGAAGCTCAGGTATAAATCGGTGTCAGCGTCGTAAGGAAATTAACCTTGTACCAACCATATTTCTCTTTCCATTTTTCGTGTAATCCGCACATTCTCACTTGTACTTTGTAGCCATTTTTGTATCTACGCCTACATCTACGTAAAACGACGTAGTCTGGAACGAAACGATCGCCCGCCCTACTAAGGAACATATTCTGTAGCTCTGTGCCCCTATTCCATTTCCCGCCGCCGGTCTCCTAATCATAGGCGACGCAGGTTGCATTTACGAACGAGCATACAAAATGTAGTTTTGCTTCCCGCCAACGTCCGCATTATCTGTGCCAATCGCTGGATGCGTTAGAAGGTTTATGGGCTAGGGTTGGCATGCAGGGAAAAAAGCATCGGTTTGTGTCGGTAGCAGCAGAACAGCCTAACGGCAAAAATACCACAAAGGAGAACGCGTTTGTGCGTGACTGCCTGCCGGCTAGGCCAGTGGCGGCGACAACTACATAGGTCGAATAGGATCGATTTAGGTAGGCTTGCGCTCATCAAAGTCACTTTTTTCTCTACCACTGCGAACACCTTTTAAAATTATTGGCACCTATATCTAAGTCGCCCTTTCAATCGACCAACAGGCAGGCGTAGTCCAACATTTCTGTTTTCGAACTTCAGCGTCAAAATCGTTGCGTGATACGATGATGCATCACTTGTACGACGTAAAGGAAAAATAAACCCATCTACAAGTCTGGAACCATTACCGCAGTAACAGCCTGTTAGAACTACGAGCTAGAACGGCGTAGCTGCATAATATCGAAGGGGGTCGAATACGAGGATGTCTAAAGAGAACCTGCGCTCTCGTAAACGAAGGCGGCTTCTGAAGCAACGAGTATTGCACCGTAAGTCCCTGGACATCCTCGCCCAGGTGAGTTCTGAGTGCTGCTCCTATCATTCGCTACGTCGCCCATAAAGATGGCGTGCCACGCGCGTATAGAATAGCAACGTCAAATCGAGGTTAGGAATAAAGTGGACTGTTGTGGCTTCCAACAGCTCCAACGCAGCAGCACTTCAGGAATCGGTGCGTGTTTCAGCTCGACGACAGCCAAATTTATCGCTGCGTTCAAGGGACACAAAAGGAAAACCGGTAAGAACAGTGGTTGTCCGTCGTGAGACAAGAGCAGTCTCATGTCTATTCATCTCTGATAGCCGAAGATCCTCAAATTTTTTGTTGGAACTATAGCCAATCTAGCACACAAAACAGAAGAAAATTGAAAGAGATCACGATGGTGATCTAGAAAATTTTCTCTACGTATGCCGGTAACACCTGTAGGAAAAGGTCTCTTTCAGGTTGTGCCCTTATTGTACTGTGTTGTTCCGGTGCGGCTGCGCTGTTAAAGATCACCCACGTGACTCCTCTTCTCACTAGGTTCCTAGTCATGTGGTTTAATCATAGGCCGATTGATCCAACATTTGCCAAGCTATTTGGTAATGAAGAAAAAACGCCAATCTCTTGCATTGAATCTACAACCGATTTTGCCTTTAACGGAAGGTAGACGTAGCCGTTCAAACGTCTAACCTACTGTTGCCTTTGAGCTTGTGTTTCTGCCTTTTCCGTTTGTAATTCGCTCCTTCCAAGCCTCGATATCTCATCTGTAAAAGTAGCTGTTTGTCGTTTTGCGTTGTGACTGGAACGTTGTGCTATAGACACCTCACATCGGTGTCTAGTCATATGCGCTTGAGCTTTTCGTAGTAGCATTTGCTACATACATCATATAGCTGTCTGACGTCGTTCTGGTAAAAGAGCTGAGAGCTTTGTTTGTGTATTCTGTCCCTAATTCAGCCCATGTTGCGTTGCTACTTTTTGCTTTTTTCTTAGTCGTGTGCACACGATGGATAACCGAAAGCGAGCAGAGCATTGGAGAAAGGACAGTCTTCGCAGTATTTTTCAGTAAGGTTGAAGTGTATGAGTCGTGCAACAACAATAGTGACAAAAATGAAAACAGTAACCTTAACCTGACAATAGTTCCGCTACGCCTACAAAAGAAAAAAGTGTTTGGGGTGCACTCTTTCGATGATATGTAGCGTAAAGGGGCAGGCTGATATGAGCTTGTCTATATTCACGTGCTTTACGTCTATATTTCATACAGACCCACGTCTCGACCTACAATAGGATTCCACTGTTGATTACAAGAGCGGCAACAGGTGTCCCTGCTCGGGTGAGCCAGTCTTCATTAATAGTGCGAGGACGCAAGCGGACCTCTTCTACAAATATAGATGCAAGCTCGTCTTCTGATATCTTCTTAGGCCTCTCTATGTATTTATGTTGCTTAATTGTGGTACGTTTATTCATAGATGTTTGATAGAATGGGTGTTTCGTTTCGTGTTGTGTTAGCTTTTTTGTAAGGTCCGAATAAGCGAAGTTGAGCATTGTCGTACGCGAGGCCATCAGATACATATTAAGTACGTTTGGTGGTATCTTCGAGTGTATCATTTTCGATGTATATGAAATACATATTTCTAGGAGATAGGTACCTGATCGTTTTGCTTCTCTAATCAGTGAACTCGATGAACACCGATAAAAAAAAGAGTGAATTCACTGGCTAACAAGTCAACCGCTAAAACATACTGTATTCGAGAAACGAGCTTCTGCTAGATCACTTCTGTATGAGAGATCTCGCCAACAATCTTGCCCGTCTTGTTTTCCCTCGTAACCATAGAGCACATAGCAATTGTACGTTTAATTCTAGTTACGACAGAAAAAAGTATGCAGTTTCTTTTGCGATATACGGTAGATTCGGATCGGCGGTTCTTTTGTGGAGCTATGAATAAGGCAGCATCAAAGTGGTCCTTAGGCAAGCCGTGATGCAGGTCGTATATAAGCAACAAAACCAAGTAGGGATTAATTCAAAAGCGAGTTGTCATAAACAATGTGACGGCAATGTAAGAACATATGTAACAGAACGTAATTGTCTCGACTCAATGCTGCTGTGTGCCGTGACCGCATGTAGTCATGTGCATAAATATATAATATCTATATAAGTTAATGAGCAATAGCATATTTGGTGAAATCAAGCAAAGTATCTTTTCTTTGCCAGATACCACGTTTACTTTTTAATCAGCATCTCGTCGATATGAATAGAATCTCTCTAACTTTGGCAGTTGACGCACTGCCTTCTCTCAGAATTTTCAATGACATAAAATATACATCCAATTCCACGGAACTTATCATGTCAGGCGTAACTGTATTATTTGCCTCTGGGTGCCAAATCACCAACACAATAATAAAGACCATGTCAACCATTCGAATATAAATGTCGAGAAACTATGAAGAACTCCGAATTTATGTATTTTTAATTACTTTCATCCACTTACTTAGGTAATTTTTAGTTGCGTCTCTATCTCCGCGCAGGAATAAGCGTTACATAGAACTTCGACTCGATTTGTCTTCTACGTAGAGATGTTTTGTCTATTGCGGCAACGCATCTTTGGCGAATATGTAACGAGCAGTCGACGTTTAAGGAATCTTCTCTGTATCCTACGCCAGGCCTAGCGACAGTGAGCTTTTTAAAATGGTCCCGGGTCATTTCCAATCGACAGCTAATAGCACAGACTTGGCTATCGCCCGTTGAAATTGCACCAGAGGGTCGTAGCCTCGTTTATCGGTGCTAACCCAATGTCTCCATTTGAAACATCCATATATATCAAACGCTATACCTTCTACCTTCTATGGCTTAGCCACTTTCATCATACCATACGAGCTAACCAAGAATATTCACGCACGTCACACTGCCAATAGTAATCTATATATATCACAAAGAAAAGGGAAAAGACCCGAATAAATTTATCAGAACTGATAAGTAATTATCACGATCTGCTTTGGCGTGTGCAAATGATTGGTGTATTTGCTCGTAGAAATTCCTCAAGCAAGTCCATACAATTAATATTTGCTGATATTCGTTGTTGAGCAATAACCTCTACTTCTCAGAACTTGCTCACTTCTACTCGTGGAAACTAAATCAGAGGACTATGTGAGTGTGTCACTGCTAAATGTATCAACCTTACCTTAGAGCTGAAACCTCACCTCTATATGTTTTCGCTGAGGATGCAGTCTTCCAACAACAGTTCCGTCATTACGGGCCTGCTATCAATAGTTCAATGAAAGGTCACTGCGATCTACTACAATAAACGCCAAATGCTGGTCTGCAGTTCGCTGCGATCAAAAGTTCAGTAAAATTTGTTTGAAAACTATTGGCCGTCTGCGGAGGGTAAAACCCGGCGAGGAACGTCATTGTTGATAGGCTGTTTCTTTCCGTCGACACTGTCATGTTCATCACAGTTGTTGGACGTAGTCGAAGGCAGGAAAAAATAACTGTTCTGGAAACAGCACCTGGCTCAATTAAACGTCCGACTCAATAGATCTACATTAGATAAATTTACTGCGACATTCTGTGAAAATAGTGTAATAATTTGTTGCTTAGCGGGAAAAGCTTGCGATCTGGTTAAGGAGGACTACAAGAAAATCGACTCCTCAGAGACCGTGCATCAACTAGGAAGGCCACGCGCTGCTGCCATGGATACCCACACACAAAACGTGGGTTGAAAATGAGGAAGCAGATTTGGAGAGGTTTGCTGTCTTGCTAATGGACGCACGCCAGCTAATGAAAAAGGTCTACTTTGCCCTTCTTTAACTAGCTTGTTGTTTTTATGATATTCCCGCAACTCATGCAGTTTACACATATACACTTCTTATATGAACGAGCTAATTATTATAACTATGTTTCTTATACATATAATTTGTCGATATCTTTAGTTGTGACTAGACAATATTTAGTTGGTCGTCTATTTAGCGATTTGCGAACTACTGGTTGCCTCATTGCTCAATAGCGTTAAGTGCTTCGATCTCCTTCGGTTAAGCGACATCTGTAGAACTAAGCCATGGTACCTAATCATGGCGTATGTAAAAGTTAGGTATAAATAGAAAAGTACTTCCTCTCGGATTTGGTATGTACATTTCTATAAATTTGATTATAATTAATAACAAGATAATTCTGAGTGTAAATATGTACGTAATCAGTCTAGCATTCAGAGGGTTGTTTTTATTATAAATACGAGCGAGAAACTTCTATTTACTGTTGACATACAAACGGAATACGTGACTGACATTTTTAATCTTTCTCAAAAATATAGATTTCGATCTCTAAGAACCACCGACTTCGATATCAGCATTATGTAATTTCCGACAGCAGTATTAGTAACTAGCGAATTAATACAGGTGAGAGAGAGAGTAAAGCGCCCAAATGAAGATGCGGTTAGTAAAGTAAGTTTTTCAAGATCTAGCTGCAGTTTTAACATGTTGTCACCAATGAAAAATATTAAATAAGCTCATTTTAATTATCCCAGATCATGCTATTGATATCTTCGCCGTCCATGTTATCGACTTTGGGGTCCAGTGCTTACTAGTAGAAATAAAACGTTCTCAATATAACAACTACCATAGTTTGATCCGCTCAGCAGAAGGCGGCCGTAAGTGTATCGGTATTCATAGTCCGCGATTCACTATTCGTGGTCATCATTGACGAATTAACGATTGCACGGGTCTTCAGCATCACTCAATATCTTTCTTAGACGCGTCGTTCTGCTGGCCCTCAGAATGATGACCACCATCTCAGGCCATATAATTTGGCCTCACTATGTTTCACGGAAGAACCTTCACTGCCAGTATTTGTATGCTATACGAGTATTGCACAGCCATGCCTCAAAGCAATCTAGTTGATACAAGCAAGGATGTAAAGTACACCAAGCGTCCCGCTTGGTGTACCAGGCTAACCACCATTCAGAGATGTTTGGTATATTAAAGGAATCGGTAAGGCCAACTCAACTGATCAATCCCATTGACAATACTAAATCGAAACATAATATATAGATAGCTTTGAACGAATCAATATCGAAAACGTACATTACAGCACCTCACACGGCACATCAGCTGTTACCAATCATGACACGTTACGTTGCCGTACAAGAACACTGCACCATGGCTCAGTTTAAGGCCAGACAATCAGCGATTACTCTAGGTATACCAACAGCGCTAGTCTTAGTGGCGACATTAAAAGTTATGGGCATGTGCGGACCTGATACTGCCCTCTGCTACTTCAAATCTATCTAGCATCCCTAAAAGATTGCTTGAAACAACTGACAGTAACCACGGAATCTAGGTGTTGTCTATATATATATATATATATATATAAGCCCCCTAACGGACACAGAGAAAGCAGGGCCCTAAGGTTGTCACGAAGTTTGCAGAACC